ATAATTATTACTAGCAATACATTTTTGAAAAAATATTACCAGCTATACATTTTTGAGGAAAATATATTACCAGCAATACTTTTTTGGAAAAAAAATTATTACCAGCAATACATTTTTGCATGAAAAATATTACGTGAAATAGATTTTAGACAAAATAAAATATTACCAGCAATAAAAATTTTGTCTACATTAAATAACCCATTGAGGGTGATATACCGTAAAACAAACCAAACCTTTTCAGTCTTGTTCAACGTAACATGCATTAAAGAGGTATTGCTGTCCAAAGATGTGTGTGTGTGTGTGTGTGTGTGTGTGTGTGTGTGTGTGTGTGTGTGTGTGTGTGTGTGTGTGTGTGTGTGTGTGTGTGTGTGTTAATAGAGGATTTATAAATGTTTCTTTATCTCAAGATCATTCTTCTTACTAACTATATTTAATTTCTTTGTCATTTGCTCAATCTGACCATTTTTCTTGTCCTTTTTTAATCTGTATTTTTTTCTTCTTTCTCGTCTGTGTTTTCGTTTCCCTCTTTATTTTACATGTTCTTTTCTTTTTCTTCGTCTCTTTCTCCAGTTTCTGTTCTTTTCTTCTTTCTCCTTTTTTTTTTTTTATATAAACTCACTCCTCCTCCCACTAAAATACAAAAATGCACGCGACAAAGTGGCAATGTGCGATGTATTAATGCGCTATGCTTGACTGAACTAAGCAACCCGTCAGCTATAGACACTACTTAATGGACAGCAGAGTGTCAACGATAGAGACGCATTATGCCAAACGCACTATTTACAGACGAGCTACTATCATGCAGGCGACTAATGTCTTTAAAAGTACTGCGATTTAATTCGATCTTGTGGACAGTGTTGATGCTCGCGGAAGGTGACAAGTGAAATGAGCTGCGGTCGCCACATTAAGAGGCGTCATTTTGGCACTTTGGACACAGGAAACATGTTACACAGAGAATAGACCTTTTTTTTCCTTTCGTATCCATTTAGTTATTTCTTTCATTCTACGTGTTTTCACTTTTGTTTTCCTTCCAACTTGTATAAGCTTTCTTTTTATTTCTGTATTTTATTTTTTTTTAATCCCTAAAGCCATTCAAAAACTAAAGAGTTTTAAGCCTCATATTTAAACATCAATACCCTATGTTTACATCACTTTTGCTTCCCTTGTTTATTTTGATTTTGGCTTCTTTATCGTTTTTTATTTTTTTAATTTCATTATAACTTTCTTTATCTTTTACTTTTTAAAATAACACCTGTTTTTCTTTATATTTCCAGGTACTTAATTCTGTTATAATAATAATGATAATAATAATAATAATAATAATAATAATATTCCCTTTGATTTCTGTTGTATACACATTTCCTTCCGAGTCCCAACCAGAGAGCTAAAGTCAGAAATGGCTTCATAACATTTTCCACTAATCATTTTATTTAAAAAAAAAAAAAAACAGATCACACATGTTTTACATAAATAAAGCTCTTCGTAATGTGAGTATAACTTTTTGTATTTCTTTAAGGCATAAGGTATTTATTATTATTATTATTATTATTATTATTATTATTATTATTATTCTTTGATTTCTTGCGTTTACACATTTCTTTCCGGGTCCCGCCCAGGGACCTAAGGTTAGAAATGGCGTCATGACACTTTCCACTGACAAAAAAAAAATTACATAGATAAAGCCCTTCGTAAAGTGTGGGCTGTACTTTTCAGAACAATTTTTGTATCTCCTTGAGGCATGGACTTCCAGGAATCCCTTCAATTAGTCTACTGCAATCTTTTCCAACCATTCCTAGGGCTCCAACTACAACAGGGATTGTTGATGTCCCCATATGCCACATTTTCGAGGTTTCTATTTCAAGATCCTTGTATTTTGACAGCTTTTTGAATATCTTCAAAGATACATTGCAGTCAGCAGGGACTGCCATATCAATAAGGAAGCACCGTGTTTGTTTTTGGTCTTTGATAATAATATCTGGCCGGTTGGCCTTGATTGTTCTGTCAGTGTGTATTGTGTAGTCCCATAGAATTGTAACAGATCCTATCTCCGTAACCGGGTCTGGGTGGTGTTCATACCAGTTTCTTTCAGTTTCCTTCCCGTAGAAGTTGCAGATTTTCCAGTGCAGATATTGGCGCACTCTGTCATGTCGGGTTTTATATTCAGTGAGTGCCAACATCGTGCAACCTGATACAAGATGACCAATCGTTTCTGGATATTTATCTCAGAATCTGCATTTGGGGCTGACACAATATTTTAGTATATGTGCTTGATAATTCCTAGTTAGCAAGCATTGGTCCTGCGCAGCAAGGATAAAACCTTCAGTTTCCGCTTTCAACCCTGCACTACGTAGCCACTGATGGGTACGGGTTTTGTCTACGTCAGCTTGTTTGGTACGAGCAGAGTATTGGCCATGAAGCGGTTTATCTTGCCATCGCTTCTGTATCTGGTCGGTCGCATTCGTCTTTGCTGTCTTTTTTAGGTATTTTGCAGTTTCAATCGGTGTATTGTGCTGTAGTCGCATCTCTACGCCCATTTGAAACTCCATTTTGAATTTGTTGGCTTCTTTCATTACGGAGTAAAGACGCTTACTACTTTCATGTTCCTTGACGCATACCATCATCCAGTCTTCTGTAGTTTCCAAATATCTTTGGAGGCCAATTGTTGTATTTTTATAGGACTGTTCTAGTTGAACTAATTCTCTGCCTCCTTCGGATCTGGGCACATACAGACGATCAACATCAGCTTTGAGATGATGCATGCGATAGCAAGTGAGAAGCTTTCTCGTTTTGGCGTCCATTTGCTTAATTTCAGCTATGGTCCAGTTAAGGACATTAAAGCTGTATTGCACCACAGGGACAGCCAATGTGTTTATGGCTGATATTCTGTTTTTTTGAGTTTAGCTCAGTATTTAGTACCAGACGTACTCGCTTGTAGTACTCTTTTCTTATTTTTTCCTTCATTTGGGGATGTTGTATGCCATCTCCTTCGCTAATTCCTAGGTACTTATAAGCTTCATCATGCTCCAGTTCCCTAATCTTTGTGACAAAATCTAAATCTATTAAGGGTGTTTCTGTAATTCTACCTTTATTGAATGTGACTTTTGCACATTTATCTAATCCGAAGACCATACCTATGTCGTCACTGAAGTATTTTACAATATTGAGTAGGCCTTTCAACTCATTGTCGTATTTGGCAAAGAGTTTGAGATCATACATGTAGAGTATTATTATTATTATTGTTCTTGTTGTTGTTGTTGTTGTTGTTGTTGTACGAGAGAGCATATGGGCGTGTGGCCGAATGGTTAGACCGTTCGCATTCTGATCATGAGACCCGGGTTCGAATTGTCGAGACTTCCTGATGTTATCCTACTGGTCGGAAAACCATACCACAGGTTGACCCAAACCTTGTGAGTGAAACTGGTTAGAACGGAAGTCTTGCCGTCGATAGCTGAAGCCATAAGTCATCGTGGCCGAGGGCTTGAGCGTGCTTGTTCAAATTGTTGATCACGCTATATAACACGCTCTCTCCCAGACGCTGTAACTAAGATCTGATCAGCATAGTTGCTCTTGAATAAACACAAGTACGCCTAATCAATAGTGTCTGCAATAGGAATTAGTAGACTGGTACCCTCGAATAGGAGTGGCCAGCTATTACTTTTATTATTATACGAGAGAGCAGCATAGCAACAAAGTGGCGCTGAGCTACAATTTTAAGAAGCCAAATGTACCCATCATGACACCTAGTCTGATAACGGTATACCAGACATATGCGTCACTGCCAAATGTGCGGAATATAGTGACAGGTTTTTGGTAAAATTACCACATAACCTTGCTGGTAAAAACACCTTACTTTCCAAGTGAGCGAAGTATTTATATATGGCTTCCAAGCCACGTTAGTTCCTCTTTCCTTCAAAATAAAAAAAAAGAAAACAACACTAGGTGCACAGCAATGAAGTTCCATCATTACTCCCGCTCATGAACAGATATGCACAGTGCGTACGACCCCCTGGACTTACCCAGCTGGTTAAATCAAGACAACTGACGAACACATCTCTGGTACTGAACGGGATATTTACTGTAGGCCATCTTAATCTGCCAAAACAAAACATTTTCATAATAACAATTATTATAATTAGTATTAGTATTCACACACTTTTTTTTAATTCCTTGTCCCTTCACGACGTAGGAGGCTATAGCTTTCCACAGATTCCATTTCTTTATTATGTATGAAATGCTATGACGCTTTGGGAAAGATAGTGGAGTGGTTTTCCTTTGCCTTCTGCACAGTTTCGAATTCACAATAGTTCTTCTCCTAGGTTAGCTACTGCCCAAGTTTAGAGAGCCCAGTCTACCCTGCTATTTAACTCAGTAATAAATGGATTCATGCCTCTTCCAAATGTCTTAGTACAAAAATGAATATGAATTTGACTCATCGATTTCACTATCTGTGCCGATAACCATTACACTCCCAGCGCATCATAAATCTTTTATCTACACTAAATGTCTGGTGGTTATCGACTGAGTTTGAGTGATTGCAAATCTCTTCATATATCGAATATAATTTTCAGTATTCTCGCAGACTTCAGTTACGCCTTGCGCCAAACAATTTTAATTCTTACTCTAATTTTTAATTTATCTCACCGTGATTTATTCGGTTCTACATGGGTCGGACTTTTTTTTTTTCTTTTTTTTTTCATCTGCCGGACGAAGTGCTGTTTTTCCATTGATCTTCTTTCCCGGTCTTGTTTTCATCTTACAGTGCTCTTACAAAGCCACTTTCACGAGCTGACAGGTTCTTATTTCCTTGTCTATATCTATCATAATTTTATCACCTGTATTGAATGCTCGGTCTAGATGCCCATACACCAGAAATAGTTTATTATTTTCATTTATTTTTTATTATCGAGAACAATCTCAAATTTGTACTGATAATATTTGTTGATATAGTCGAACCGAACAATTTTGCGCAATTCCCAGTATATCACTGTTCCTCACCTGTCATGCTTGCTTTTATTTTTCCCGTTAAGCATTCTTGTGAAACTCTCTTTCATATAATCGACTTCTGTTATTTCCCTCCCGGTCATATCTGCTTAAATGGTTGCCAAATGAGTGACATGAGACTCGCGTTGCTTAGATGAGGCGAAGGCTTGAAATCATGGCACAGTGCAAATGGCAGCAGTCACGGTTTAAGAAATCTTTTTTTTTTACGGTATAAATCATAAAGAAAAGAGTGCCGAACAGTTATGTAATATCGGTTTTCCTATACGGCAGTGAATGCTAGACAATTTCCTCACGGTTGAAGAAGAGACTTAAGTCAACCGAAATATAGTTCTACAAAAAGATACTGAGAATACCATAAACTGAATATATGAGCAGTGAAGAAGTATTATGAAAAATGCGAACAAAAAAAAAGACATTTCTATTTAGAATCGGAAAGTGACAATTGAAATTTCTAGGATACATAATGAGGAAAGACGGTTTGGAAAATTTAACACTCACATAACGTACTGAAAGCAAGAGCTACGAAAAAAAGCAGTAATTAACCTACCAAAAGAGCTAGTGTAAACGGTAAACAGAACAAGCTTAAGGTGAAATAGTAAAAAACATTTGTATCAACTATCTACAATTATTATATATTGATTTGTTTTTGTACGATTTATCAACCATTTGTAGGATATTTAAAGCCAGAAAATATAGTTAGATGGTAAATATTTTTTGGAGAAAATAATGATTTACTGATAAACTTATTACTAATTAACCCATAGCTGGAGGATTAATATATTTCCCAATGCTATTTACGCGTTAGTGAATATAACAAACCCGATTGGAATAAGAACCCGGCTCTTCGATTTCCAATTCCGAGCCGTTATCCATTACACCACCTGCACATCCAAGCTTACAGCACCCGGTATTCCCAAGTGGTCACCCATCTAGGTACTGACTTGGTTCGACGTTGCTTACCTTCCGGGATCGTACGAGAACCGGTGTTTCAACGTAATCAATCAATATTATTAGAAAATCGGAAAGTTTTCACCTTAATTGACTCCCAAAGAAGAAATATTTGCTTATATGCGCCTATGTGTGTTTATGCTTACCTTTGTGTCCGTATATGTGTATATAAAAAGTGAGAAGTGAAAAGTGGCAGCATCTATGCAATGGGAAGCTGAAAAAGTCTCGGCAAATTTTCGGTCAGCTTCTGGGAAGTGGGTTTGGGCAAAAACTTTTCAGCACCCTTTGTAAACCGTGTACATTTTTGCATGCGTTTTATATATGTTACTCTGTATTCAATATAACTCATAAAACACACCCGAACCGGCGTCACACCTCAGTGTATATAATATATATATATATATATATATATATATATATATATATATATATATATATGTGTGTGTGTGTGTGTGTGTGTGTGTGTGTGTGTGTGTGTGTGTGTGTGTGTGTGTGTTCGTATACGGGCATATTTTCTGTCTTTTGATGTGTATTTAGCTATAATTTCCCAGTTTTACACTCTTTGCTGACTACCTTCGAAGTACACCTATTGTTACTGGAACGTGTTGCCAAGAATTCTTACCTACCTACCGGCAATCACAGGTGTCACAGTCACAGACATTACCTATCCTTCCTCATCCTCTCGACTGCAAACCAGCTTCGGGCAGAGACGCACCAAAGAATTCTGTAGAATTCTGGTGACCAAGCAAAACGGAAGCTTAGATTAATTTCAACACCTTTACTAATTGCTGCTTCGGGATGGTGTCTCGGTGTGTCTGCTTCTTCGATTAAGCAGCCCATTCCTATACGGACCAAACGTGGCAAAATCCCCCCCCCTCTTTCATATTTCGTCATTACTACCATCACCCGTCATCTATCGTCTTGCTTCTAATTTCTATCCCTGAAAGACTAACCCCATTACCGATTCTACCCGACTACTCAACAATACCCTGTCACATGTCAATACAACGATAATCATTATAATTGCATCCTGTATTGCTTTTTTTTTCTTTACAGAATATCTTTATCGTGTTTTCGAGTTTCAGTTATCTATCTACCGCCAAACCGACACCCAGCGATTCCCACCTTCCTGACGATTTTTGACACTTTTTTGTATCCCACGCATCTGTCTTATTCTCTCTCTCTCTCTCTCTCTCTCTCTCTCTCTCTCTCTCTCTCTCTCTCTCACTATCTATCTGGCTTTCACTTTTACAACATATTATTTTCTTTTGCTATTTTTTTTATTAGCTTTGTCGTATATCTTTTTGCTGAATGTACGGTTTTCATAAAGTTTTCGAGAATTTCTAATATTTCCACAGCAGAGATTTTGGAAACAAAAACTGAATGAGCAGCTTTTCAGCCTGAATTTCAGTGAGAAAAAGAAAGAAAGAAAGAAAGAAAGAAAGAAAGAAAGAAGAGGACAAAGAGATAAGAACAGACATTACACTTTGATCTTAGCCGAAAAGCAATTGTATTTACTTACCGCACCACACTAGCAGGATGTGACACAAGGCCACTTTAATGTGAGTAGCCCGAGCTCGTGCAGCATGTATAAAAATAGCCGGAAACGGTATTACTACCGACCCCTACTCTTTAGTGCAATGAGGGAGCTACTGCCGCGACAAGCCTTTCCCCGAGATCAGGTACTTCTCAAAAATATTTTTGGTTGGGCTTTGTCCGCACAAGTGAGAGATTAAATATAGTTTATTCGCACGAGGGCAGATACTACACTTTGATCCCAGCAAAAAGTCCGAGTTTATTTACTTGAACACCCCCCCCACTGAGTCAGGTTGTGACACAAGGTCAATTTTTAACGTGGGGACCCGAGTGTTTGCACTCGGGTTGCTGGTCCAAGCTGGTCTTAGCTGGTCATAGCTTGTCTAAGCTAGTCATAGCTGGTCTAAGCTAGTCATAACTGGTCTTATCTGGTCATAGCTTGTCCAAGCTGGTCAGCTCTGGTCTAAGCTCGTCATAGCTGGTCTTGGCTCGTCATGGCTGGTTCAGACCCGAGCCGGTCCAAGCTAGTCGTAGCCGTGATCGAATCTCAGACAAAAGTTCGAGTAGCGATAAAAAGGCCATCTTTCAGACGCACATAAAACTGAGTAAGGCAATCGTCAAAAGTCCAGTTACAATAAATAAAATAACATCGCCTGCTGAATTATTTTTAAATTATTATCAAGAAAAGTGTTCGTAAGACATGGATTTGGCTAGTTATCATTATTTTCTTTCCATGGTTTACCTTCGGATTAATATCCGCATGCTTGTTGTTATTGTCACAGCGTTTCATCCATTGATAAAGAAGGCCGGAGAGCACAATGGCAATAGCAACAAAGATGAAGATATTAATCCAAATATAAGACATGTAAATAATAAATTTGTTTTTAACGTCATCATGAATATGGGTGTAGAGTTGTGGTTCCTAAAGGGAGAATGTCGTACCATGTTCAAATTACAACCGAGACCTTTGCGTTCACTTTTACTCACATACCCTTTAAGGAAAGATATGAATTCATCTCTTCTTCTCACGGTTAATGATCAATAGCAGGATAGACTTGTCTCTCTAGCAGGGCCAGTGTGCTCTACCTCTAAACCAACCAACAGAGGGGAGAGGCTAAGCCTGACTGGTGGCTCCGGACAATGCTTTGTGTCTCTCGCTATCTTATCAACAGTTATTTTTTTTTACCTACATTTACATTACTAATTAAACTAAGCACAACTTTTAAAGGGTGAAAAATTTTACCTGATTTTGACGTCATTCTGTGGTCTTTGTTTTTCGTCCAAATCCATGAATTTGTATTGCTTATCCTAAAAAAATAAACCTTATATAAAATTCATTATGTTTTATCCATAATGTTGAATGTGTTAAAATTATTCAACGTTTTAATAAAAAAAAATTCAAGTTGATGTTAAAAAATGTCTCAAAACATTGTTTATTTATTTAAAATGGAATGATCTATTAGAATATGTCTCTACTTTGTATTTAGATATATTGTATTTATTTTCAGTTTTTCGAGTTAGATTGTTCACCTATATTGCATAAGATGCATAATTATATATTGAAAATTGAAATACAGTACAGTATCATAGATTCAGGGCGCTGTATCGTAGTTTCGCGGGGACTGCATCGTAGATTCGGAAGAATTGTATCGTAGATTCGGGGGGACTGCTTCGTAGATTCGGGGAGACTGCATGGTAGATTCAGGAGAATTGTATCGTAGATTCGAGGGACTGTATCGTAGATTCGGGAAACTGTATCGTAGATTCAGGGGAACTGTAACGTAGATTCGGGAGAACTGTATCGTAGATTCGTGGGGTCTGCTTCGTAGATTCGGGGAGACTGCATCGTAGGTTCTGGAGAATTGTATCGTAGATTCGAGGGACTGTATCGTAGATTCGGGAAACTGTATCGTAGAGTCAGGGGAACTGTAACGTAGATTCGGGAGAACTGTATCATAGATTCGTGGGGACTGCTTCGTAGATTTCGGAGAATTGTATCGTAGATTCGAGGGACTGTATCGTAGATTCGGGAAACTGTATCGTAGATTCAGGGGAACTGTAACGTAGATTCGGGAGAACTGTATCGTAGATTCGTGGGGACTGCTTCGTAGATTCGGGAGAATTGTGTCGTAGATTCGAGGGACTGTATCGTAGATTCGGGAAACTGTATCGTAGATTCAGGGGAACTGTAACGTAGATTCGGGTGAACTGTATCGTAGATTCGTGGAAACTGCTTCGTAGATTCGGGGAGACTGCATCGTAGCTTCGGGAGAATTGTATCGTAGATTCGAGGGACTGTATCGTAGATTCGGGAAACTGTATCGTAGATTCAGGGGAACTGTAACGTAGATTAGGGAGAACTGTGTCGTAGATTCGTGGGGACTGCTTCGTAGATTTAGATTCGTAGGGAGAATTGGAAACTGTATCGTAGATTCAGGGATTCGAGGGGGACTGATTCGTGGGGATCGTAGATTCGGGAAACTGTAGATTCGAGGGTAGATTCATTCGGGGCAACTGTAACGTAGATTCGGGAGAACTGTATCGTAGACTCGTGGGGACTGCTTCGTAGATTCGGGGGACTGCATCGTAGATTCGGGGGACTGCATCGTAGATTCGGGAGAACTGTATCTTAGATTTGGGGGAACTGTATCGTAGATTCGTGGGGACTGTATCGAAGATTCTGAAGGTGCACGAGATCTTTGCACCGGTCCTGATCCCTAGTTTTGGTTGGCAACCAGTCTAGAAAAAGGAAATCCATCAGGACTTACGGCCATATCACGTTGAAAAATTGGTTCCCGTACCATCACGAAGTTAAACAACGCCGAGTCTGGTGAGTACCTAAATGGGTGATCGCTTGGGAATATCAGGTGCTGTAAGGTAGTGTAATATGGATAGCGGCTCGAAAATGAAAATTGGATAACGAGTTCCAATTCCAGTCGGGACCTTTATATTTACTTAGGCGGAAATTTCCTTAAGAAATGTATGAATCCAACTCTTCCCACCCACCCCTGTTAGGTGTTATTTAGTAAGATTTGTATCAGTAAAATGATTATTAGCCATAAAAATTCTTAAAATGTAAAAATATTTTCTGGCTTTAAAATAACCTAAAAAAGGTTGATAAACCGTAAAAAACAAATATTTTTTTCAATTATATTTTTCCTGGTCTATTTTTTTTTCTCTCTTTTAGTCTTAACTTGTTTATAAAATTTTATATTAATATTTATTCATTTTATGTTTGTTTTTTTTTTCTTTTGTTCTTTCTTTCGTTCAGATATTGTTATCTTTATTATATAAGGTCAGCTTTCTTTCTTTCTTTTCTTTCTTTTGTTTTTCTTTCTTTCTTTTGTCAGACCACAATATTTATTTTTTTCGTCCCGATCAATATCATTTTTTTTTCATCCTATCTTTTATCATTTTTCTTTCATTCACTCCTTCATAGTTTCTTTATTTATTTTTCCTTTCTTTCTTTCTTTTATATTTTTATTTATCCCTCTCATATAAGAGTATTTTCTTTCTTTCTTTCTTTCTTTCAAATATTCTTTTGTTTATCTCTATTTTGTAAATAGAACCATTTCCTACTTTCTTTCTTTCTTCTTTCTTTTTTTCGTCAGGCTACAAAATTTATCTTTTCCTTCCTATCAATATCATTATTTTTTTCAGTCTTTCTTTCTTTTAAAATTTTCTTTAATTTATCAATATTATATATAACAGTCATTTCTTTTTTTTTTCTTACTTTTTCATCGTCAAGCCACTACATTTTTATTTTAGTTACTTCAATATCATTCTTTCTTTCATTTATTCATTCATTCTTCCATTCATTTTTTCCCATAATTCTTTCTTTCTTTCAGATATGTTTTATTCGTCTTTATTATATATGGTGATCTATTTTTCTTTCCTTTTCTTCGTCAGGTCACAGCATTTATCTTTTAGTTCTTATCAATATCATTCTTCCTTCTTTCTTTCGTTCGTTCCGTCTTTCTTTTTTTCTTTCTTTCCTAAAAAATAATTTCTCCTCTCTTTTCTCATCAAATGTTGTTTGTCATTAAAAACACCATTTATATACAAACACTTACTTTTTTTTTACGAGGGTATGCTAAAAAAGAAAGTTCCTTGCCTAACCAAGAAGAAACTCCAAAAGAAAAATATTCATGTCTGGTGAGATTTGGAGAAATTAATTGGGCCGATAATTTTTCAGCGCCCTTTCATATTAAGCTAAGTTTAATGAAGCATAACGTAAAAAAAAAATCAGCAAGGGTAATCATGGTTATATTAACTTAATCGAGGAAGCATCTCCTCGGGAGTTCGTTATACAAAGTAGCGGTTCTTGGGCAGAAGCTCTCCGAATGAAGAGAATTTGGCTGATTCGTTCCAGTGTACGTGGATTTAGCTTAACTGGTGAGACTAAAGACTGTAGCTCGTCAGAACATTTTCCATGGAAATAGCGATAGATTAGCGAGAGGATTTCGAAGCTTCGTCTTTTGGAAAGTTGTAAGGGTAACTTACTAAGGAACGAACACACTCTTGATTGATGCTGAACATCATTAACACAAATATAATAATAATAGTAATAATAATAACCTTAAGCGCAGTACTAGATTGGCAGCTAGGTCTCATCATTTTAGCGTTGAAAATGCTAGGTGTAACTCTAGATGTAACTTAGAAGGTCTATTCTAATGGTTTTTTCTCGTGCACATATCACTTCCGGCTTCTTGCCTTCCGGTTAACCACGACTTTCAAAAATTTAAATGCAACGTAAATCGTCAACTCCTGTCTCTCTTTTGATGGACGCAAAATGGGTAATCGGTTTTCTATTGTAATTAAGTAATGAACTGTTCTGACAGAGATTACTATATATTTTTATAACATATTTATATACCATATAAAGGGTGCGATGGGTAAATTGTCGTCATTTTATATTTTTAATTTAGCGCGTGCACGTTGTTTGTTTTTTGATTTTGTCGACTGTACAACATAGTGAGGTTAGTTGAGCACCGTCTGTGAGAAAAAAAAAATTCACCGTCACGTAATTCAATCCGCCAGAAATTTGGAAACGGCATACTGTACTGTTTGGCATTTGCGCCGTAAGCTCCAATACTAACATTTCAGAGTGTTTGGGTGTCAATCTGAGGACATTGCAGAGGATTCGGAAAGAGTTGGATGATTCTAATGGTGATTACTAAGGCCTACATCAAGTGCATTGAGAAGGTAGTGCTACCCTAGGTAAAAATGGTGTCTACTGGGAGATCTTATGTCTGACAATAAGACTCTGAACTATGCCGCACAAGTAGAAGACAGTCATGTCTGTCAGACAATTTCTGCGACCCCATCACCCCTTACATCTGGCCACCTAACTCTCCAGACTTGCAACACACTTCATTATTATGTTTGAGGCACAGTTAAGCTAGAGACCAACAAAACTCCTTGTAACACCAAAGATGAACTAAAGGCAAAGATTATGGCAGCATCCACCAACTTAAACAAGGAGACCGTCCAGAAGAGATGCAGGAGATTCCGAGGTCGTCTGGAAGCCCTGTTTGAAGTCAATGGCGATTTTATTGAATAAATTTACTCTTTCGTATTTCAAGATATTTTTGTATAATTTTGATAAATATATCCGTTAAAATTAGTTGTCTGTGTTATTTTCGTTTTTGCTTAATTTAGACGACAATTTATCCATCACACCTTGTAATATAATTGATATACATATTTATAAAATATATCTATATAACATATTTTTTCCTCACAGGATTCTTTACTTGATTTTTCTTTACTTCCGCTCAAATTCTTGTCAAGCATCTCAATTCTCTTCTCTTTGAAACTTAAAACACGCTGAATTGTCTATTAGACAGAATGCTATTCACAAGACTTATTTCCGTTAGCAGCGAACTGATTTGGATTCATTTCGTGACTCTGTTCGAGACGCCCCTTGGATTGATATTCTTAACCTTTCTATTGTGAGTTGTTTCTTCTTGGGTTAAAGCCGGCATAGATGTTTTTGTACCTTCTCAAAAATATCTTTTTGATTCACACCTGTCTGTTCAGCCGTTACAACCCATAGGAATCATTTTTTCCGGCTCTATCAGTGTGATAGTTTCTATCATAACGGACGCCTCTTTGTTTCTGCTCATAATAAATGTAAAGGTGTCCACAGTGAGGTTAAGTCATTGTCTGCTAACAGAATGAGGCACTCTATAGCCTCTGAGATGTTTGCTTCGCATAACTACTAGCTGCTCTATAATAGTAAGTTAAATAAGAATAAGCCTTCTATCCCTTTTCTCTTCACTCAGTTTAAGGCGTTAAAATCTCCTGCTGATAAAGGAGAATGTTTTGCTTGTAAATTCTCTTCTAATTCTACTCTTGATTCATCTAATATCTTTTGCCAATTTTCCATTTAGAACTGATTTCGTTGATGGTTTCTGCTTCTTCTCTAATCTGGTTCTCCACAAAGCATTGTGGACCTAATGATATCGCTGCAATAGTTCTTAATAAATGTGCTCCTGATCTGGCTAAATAAATACCTCGCTGCTTCTTGTTTTCCTACTTGTCAGAAATCCTCCTCTGTAGTTCCACTCTTTAAGAATTCAGTTAAACCGTCTGATCCTTCTAACTATCGGTTTATTAGACTTTTCCCTTTTGGAAAAGAAACGGAAGCCATATTGTTTATCTGAAAGAATAACCTGTGAGTCTCTGAATCAGTTTTAGCATCTCACCTGAAATGGTCTTCTTTCACATAAATAATAATTCTCTCTTCATCAGTGACCGTCTAGATGTCATCAGTTAAAAACTTGGTATCTATGATGGTGACACAACTATTTACTACTGTATCCACAGTAAGTCTGAACAGTTTGATAATTGTTGTTAACTGGAGCAAGAAATGGCTTGTTAATCGCTTAATGTCTCCAAAACGAAACTTCTCTCTTTTAAATGTCTGAGAGAACCGTTTGTGTCTTCCATCAGCATGGCTGATGCTAACCTCCAGGAGAGTGATTACTTGCGCCTTCTCGGATTAACGTTTTCCGCTGACATGAAGTGGAAATATTATATTGAACCAATTGCTAGATCTGATGCTTTGAATGTTTATTCACTGTGTCATGCTAGACAATTATTCTCACCAAAATCTGACACATTTAAAAGTCCAACATTCGTCTATGTATTGAATAGTACTGTTCTTCATTTGTTGCTTCTTCTATGTATTTAGAGATTCTTGATAAAATACAATTAAAAAATGTGCAATATTATTGGTCCTCACCTGGCATCACTTTACCACCACCGTAAAGTAGTTTCCTCTGCTTTTTTTATAAATATTTTCATGGTAATTGTTCTGATAAGCTTTCTTCTTTGGTACCTAGACTTTATGAATTTTAGTGTAGTACATGACTGGCGGTTAGGTCTCATCATTTTACAGTTGAAATTGCTAACCATAAGTTCTGTACTAACAGATTCTTCTGTCGCACTCTCTCTTCTGGTTTCTTGCTTTGCAGTCAAGTTTGATCTTCAAAAATATAAATGCAATGT